AGGCTGCGGCAATGCCCACGCCACTGCGTTCCCCGAGCTGATGGGAAAAAGACAACAGACAGTGGGTCATTCGTGTAAGGAGAATGCTGCTTTATTGTGAAAATGCTGCTGTCTTTACACTATTGTCTGGTGCTCTGTACATGTCCACCCTCACTCCCGGGGGCTTGTCTATCTCTCCATACGGCGTTGTTCAACCTCTTGGGGACACACTACCAGGAAGCTGCAGTTGCGGGGATGGCCTGAGACTCTCAATTCCTGAAAGTTTGCGCAGATAGCCGAGCAAACATTTCTGGCAATCACTCAAGCATTCTTGTGACCAGCCTGCAGGCGAGACGGTGGAATTGTCCCATGATAGGGTCCAGGAGATGTCGGCCGCAGCAGTAGGCCATGCTGGGCCAGTTCATAACACGATCTGGCAGATACAATAACTAAGATGGGGTGCAGGACAAGCCTAGTTGGGCTGCAACACTAGCCAGTTCACATTAGGGCTAGGACTGGGGATAGTCCAGCCTGGATTAGGCTGGAGCACTTTCCACATAAGCTGGAACTTTGTGCAGGCTGGGCAGGACAGACTACAGCATCCACTGGCAAATGCTAAAGTGAGGCAACCCATGCCAGACTGGGCCACACCCCCCTCAAAACACTTAACATTTAGTGGGACCAGCACAGTAAGCGAGTAGCAAGGACTCCCTTCCTGGGCTTCTGCTCCCACCGGCAAGTGTGAGAACTGGGACTGGGAACAGACCAGGCAGGGTAGGGCTACAACACATGTTGACTTGAATGTGAGCTGGGTCAGGGAGAGAGCCAGGCGGGGCTAAGTGTCTGTATCCACTGATGTACGCATGAGCCAAAGTGCAGGCTGGTTGGGCTTTGCTGCAGCATCAGCTCGCAGGGGCTGGGAATGGGGGCAAGTCCTGTCAAGTTAGACTGTAGCACCACCTGGAGAGGGCAAGCTCTGGGGCTGGGAGTGGGCCCAGAGGGAGAACTGTGAACACCCTTCTGATGGGCTGCAGCTCCCACTGGTGCGCATGAGAACCAGGACTTAGGGTGAGCCTGGCTGGACAGGTGATACGCCTGCTGGACTAACTGTGGGCTGGATAGTGGGGTTGGTCAGGCTGAGGTACACTGCGGCATCCATTGGTGTGTACAAAAGCCGAATGGCATGTGGGACAGATTGGGTCAGTCTGCTGCACATGCTGGCATGTGCACATGTTAAGGCTCGGGACAGGACTGGTGAGGGTATTTGGGGGTCACTCTGACTGGGCTGCGGTTTCCACTGGTGTACATGAGGGCCACGTGTGTGGTGGGCAGGGTCTCAGCATCCATTGGTTTGCAAAGAGATGGGGCTGGAGACAAAACTGACCCAACAATTACAACCACCAGTGTGTTTATAGGCTGATGTGGTGAGGGACCGAGTCAAACCCCACACTGTCGGACACACACAGGAGCCAAATCTGGGATAACCTCAGTTGAGGTCCCTATGGGGACTCTCCGGGCTGGACCGCTGGACTGAGTGATGACAAGTACCTGAGCGAGTGGAGAACCGAAAGTTAGACTCTGTCAGCCAGTGGACCTTGGAAAGGTTTGCTCATCTTGGAAACAAAAAAAATCAACAGCATTTCAGAACATTGAAAACCACTTGAGCAGCACCATTGGAGAATGCTCAACAACAGGAACCATGGAATGACATCAGGCGGCTGCACGCATCCCTACTTAGAACGGGGGTTAGGACACTGGGACAGGTTCTCCTCTTCTGCCCCCACCCCGCCCCAGATACAGGAAGAAGAAAAAGAAAAGTGTAAGAAATGGTCTCATCCAACTTCTCCTATTCCTCAGCAATTTCCACATGGGCGAGCACACTTCTTAAAACATCATAAAAAGCGAGACAAGAGAGTGAGTCCGCTATGGTGAACAGGAGTGCTAAAGGCTGCTATGTTATTCAATTCAGCAGTGCCCAGCCTGTGTGCTGGGACATGCAGGAACTCTTACAAGGAAAAAGCTGATACACAGATCCAAACTGACAGCCAGGGTCAGTGAGACAGGTGTGTGGGACACACCTGGGAACCCAGGAGCAGCCCCCATGCAGAGACAGCACCCCAAGATGCACAGGCACCAAGTGGCCATGCAGGAAAGACTGCTGTTGCACACGCAGTGGCCACAGGGACGATGACCTGAGACCTCACACGAAAGGTGCTCGGTATGTGTGGTGGGCAGAGAAGCCAACAGCAGACACTCAGCACGCAGAAAACCACACACAGGAGAGCAACGTTCACGTTGGGAACCCAGCCGACAGTGCAGCGTGAGCAAGCAGGATCCCCAAAGGGCATGCTTGGTGAGCCTGGACCTCAGCCAGTTGAAAGTCCTTCTTCATCCATTTGGGAGAAAGTATCCACAGGCCACACAGCCAAGAATGAGTGAACATGTCGGAGGCACAGAGAGCTGTGGCAACACAACAGTCTCAGTGTCGCCAGTCTCCCTAGGAAATAGGGCAAAGACAGGAGAGATTGTGGCTCTCGAGAGCACAGTGGGACCAACTGAAAAGCAGTGTGGCTCAGCAGACAAGTCCTCCCCGTGAGCAGCGGCATCCCACATGGGTGGTGCTTCCTCTTCCTGCCGCTCCACTTCTGCTCCGGCTGCCTGCGTAGCCTGGGAAAGCAGCGGAGGATGTCCCAGGGCCTTGGGCACCTGCCCCACATGGGAGACCCAAAGGAGGATCCTGGCTCCTGCTCCTGACTTCACCTCAGCTCACCTCTGGCCGCTGTGCTATGTGGGGAGTGAACCAGCAGGTGGAAAATCCTCTCTCGGTCTCGTTCTCTCTAGAAATCTCCTCTGTGGGTAATTTAATGGCTCTTGCAGAAAGAAAACTGGCATAATGCCAAGGTCTGCCTAGGCTGCAGCAAGGAGGAGAGGAGACATTTCCTGCATGTGGGAATGAGACCTGTTGGTGTCAGGATGGGCACTAGCATGCAGCCTCTTCACTCTAAAATGCTTCCCCGACTCAGGCCTCGCCTGGCTGCTTGGCATTCTGTGCACAGAGCTGGGAATGGTGGCCCCACAGAGGCATACATGGGAGAGTCCTTCGCCGCCTCAGTCTCACTTGAAAGAGTGCCCTTAACCCCGGCCACCGCAAGTAAGATCCTCACCCCACCCAACGCTGCCCCACACGCGTATAGCATGAACAGTGTGATCTCACAGCAGCTGCACAAAATGCATGCTCAGTATATGGCCACCGATACCGGCCTTGACGGCCACAGATGTGGCAGTGTGATTGGAACATGGCTGTTGTGTGCCTGCAGACACAGGAATGCAGGGGTCACCTGCTGAGGCGTCCGAGTGCTGTCTGTGTCAGCAGCCCGGGGCCGATGTGGAATAGTGGGGTGACGGGGTGAAGGGTGCTAGGAGTGGTGTTGCACAACTCTCCATGAGTACAGAAATCTCTCCAACACTTAGGCCAACAGAAGTGGAAATAGTGAGCACATCATGACTAAGCTCACATGAAAGCAGATGCAGCTAGCAGAGCAGTGCTGTCAGAGTAACTCTGAAAGGCTAGTGTTTAAGGAGAATGGCTGTCATAGAACAAGTAGGTTAGCGAATAAAAAGCAGAAAATGACATACTTCACTGCTGTGAGAGGGAAAACCTGACCACACACACAGGCAGAGCAATTGCTGATCGACTTACTGATGGAATTGGAGCAGGTTGCGAGCGGAGCGCTGAGCTGTGCTAGCTGTAGTTATAGCGCCATGCTCGCATTGTGCAAGTGCACTGAATGCTCAAGGTAGGGTGGTCTACTTTTCTGCAGCCTGTGGGGCTGTCATAGCCAGGACCTTGAAGAAACCAGGCAGCAGTGGAGACTTCCAAGATGAAGGCCACATTCAGGAGTGCATGTGACTCGATGGGACTCACGTCCAAGTGTCCAGCCATGATTCTCGGCCCTTCTTGCCTTTTGTGGGTGAAGTCTACAGCCGAGGTTCTAGGGCAGTTTTAGGAGGCACACACATGTAGTGACCAGTAAGTAGCAAGTGTGGGATGTGGTCCCCAAAGTCAGCAGCAGCCTATCCAGAGGGAACTGACCACCCCAGCTAAGGGGGCAGGTTTCTGACAGGTTGAAGGGCTGTCACAAGCCAGCATGGGCTGGTCAGCTAGCTAAGAGGGCATGTTTCTGATAGCTCCTGGACATAGCTCCTGATAGCTCTGTTGTGGACAACACAACAGACATACGCTTGTCAGATGGGCAATGAAGGAAGCTAACTGACTGCTTCTAGTCCTCAGTTCCTTCTGTGTTATCAAGGCAGCCAGGCCTGGAGTCGTTCATGCGTCTGTCGCTGATGGTCAGTTCCAGGCTCAAGTGTTTGTATTCTACACTCTAGTTTTCAAGGAGGCTTGCAATTTTGTCTCATGTTGGACTGTGGTCAGTCTGATGCTGAACTCTGTTCAGGTGGCCTTGGCTGCCTGAGGCCACTGGGCAAGGCATCAAGAGGAGACCCGTGCTTGTTGGAGCCCGTGTTGGAATGGTCCCTCCTGTGCATGCTGGGAGGAGGGTGGCAGGCAGGGCTTAGGAATATTTGCGTGTGGTTGAGGAGCTGGAACGCTGGGCCAAAGGACGTGGAAAGGCCCGTGTCCTGGAGGAGTCTTGCCAGTTGCAGAAACCAACATGAGTCCTGTTCATGGGGCACTCCTCCTCCAGCTTGGCATGGTCTCTGGGACACAAGTGAAGCCTGGCTGGTGATCTGCATGTAACCCCGGAGCTGCTCTCCTATTACGGCCACACAAATGGCCAGTGTGTTGCATTTGTGCAACTACTGTTGTGCAGGGCCAGAGGCAGACACAGAGGAGGCAGTGTGCATAGCGAGTTTTCTGCAGCAAGCATCAGTCTCACGGTAATCCGACCCTGGGGAAGGCAGTCATGTGACAGCTGGTGGAGGAGAATGCATGCATGACAAATACAGACAGCAAGTGTGGCATCAGTGATTTCCATGTGCTGTCTTTTTCTCTTTTTTAGGCTTGAACGCTCGTGAAATGCTGGTTATCAAAAACTGTACATACAACTGCTCATTTGTATATCCAGTTCAACAGCCTCCAGAAGCACCTAAAAAGATTGTAACAAATTCTTTCTATTATATTCGATGTTGCGGTAGCATGTCCTGCAATGAAGGAGGCCCGACCAACCTAGAAAGGGACATTCTGCCTGAAATACCTACCGAAGAGCCTCTGCCAGCCCACGCTGTGAATACCCAGTCTTCAAAGGTTTTCCTCAGTTTCTTGTACATCATAGTCAGACGCATCCTGACTGAACCACCCTTATGTGGGGAGTCCAGTCATCTCTCTCGTTCATAGCATCACCCTTGTGTGAGCCAGAGCCATTGACCCACTGGGTTCAGTTGGTACATTTCTGTTTTATGCCAAGATGAAATAAGAAAAAGCATTGTTTGCTCAGCCTGGTCATGTTGGTTTGTGCCGGAGTCCAGCTCCAGCTGAGTTCGGAACTCGCGAAGGGTGCATGGATGAGGCGCAAAGAAAGAGACGGACCACTAGGAACTCTTCATCATCATAATGGACCACGCACAAAAGCTGTCTGCTTTATTTATACAAAATCAGTCAAACTCTGGCTCAGGCTTTTTACATCATGCTCAAGCGGGGGTTTGTAAAGATAACTGCCATTTGTTTCACCTAAGGCTAGGTTGATATTCACCTGGCACCTGGCGCCTGGCTAGGAAAAGGTTATCAATAGATGATGCATATCAGTCAGTAGCACATTCCTGCCACAATTACTTTACAGCTAGTTCTTGAGACAGTCAAGGAAGGAAGAAGGAAAGAATAGATTCCCACTACACCTGAAGACAGAACTCCGTTGATTAGCATAGGATCAAAAGGGGAGTTAGCACCAGTGATTAGCATAGGATCAAAAGGGGGAGTTAACACTCTTGATTAACATATTGCCACAGGACGCAGCCCTAACAGCGATAATAGCTCTTTGGCTAAAAACGGCACTAGCAACATTAGCTTCTAAGTTCCTATTGACGTTTAACAGTAACTCCGCAGAAGCAGGCAATGCCTAAATAAATTACAGAATTCTCAGTGGGGTTGTCTGGTGTCCATGCAAAGGGAGGCAGAGCCGCATTCAGGTGTTGTAGAGACATCCGCCAGGCCTTGCCACACAGCGGCAAGTTCCTTGCGACCTTGCCTGCATGGAACCATACTCTTCACACCTTCCTGTCTTCCACCCCCATCACACGGACTCCAGCAGGTTTGTTTGCTTGGGCAACGTTGGGATGGGTCCCCTGCTTACCTCTGTTCATGGGACCCATACCGGACCAGACACCTGGGAATTCCCTTGGAGTTTGAGTGCTTGAAGGGTTTTTCTCCCTACCAGAAACACCTTGGGTCTTTGAAACTGAGAGATTCTTTTCCTCCAATGGCAAAACACTTTAGGGGCTCAGCTTCCAGTAGGCTGGAGGAGAGGCCGCAGCCATGGGCAGAGCGTCGCCTTGAGGACACCTAAGGTTCTGTGCATGGTTTTGAGTTCTTGGGTCAGGGCCTGGTGGAAGCAGAGGGGAGAACTGGCATGGAGGTGACACCTGGCCCAGACAGACAGGAGAGCTGCAACATCTTGCACTCTTGGAGGGTGAATGGTCCTGCAGGAAGCAGACTGCTCTCAGAACTCAACATGGCCCTGCTTCACATGGGCCCTAGGTGCTTCCCAATGATTGGCATGTGAAAACTGATGTGTGCTTTTTGGCGTGCACACTGTTCTGGCTCTAGTGATGAGGAACTGTGACTTCCCCTTCCTTAGAAAGGCTTGAAGTGGCCCGGGAGCCCTCCACAATTCTTTTTTAATTTTATTTTATTTTTTTTTTTTTATTGGAAAGGCAGATATACAGAGAGGAGAGACAGAGAGGAAGATCTTCAGTCCGATAATTCACTCCCCAAGTGAGCGCAATGGCCGATACTATGCCGATCCGACGCCAGGAGCCTCTTCCGGGTCTCCCACGCGGGTGCAGGTTCCCAAAGCTTTGGGCTGTCCTCGACTGCTTTCCCAGGCCACAGGCAGGGAGCTGGAAGGGAAGCGGGGCTGCCGGGATTAGAACCGGCGCCCATATGGGATCCCGGGCATGCAAGGTGAGGACCTTAACCACTTGTGCCACCGCGCCGGGCCCCCACAATTCTTGATAACAAGCTGACTTGAATGGCTACCACCCCTCTCATTGTGTCTATGGTCCGTATTGTGGAGGGCTCAGACACTAAAGTCCCTGTGTTGTTCACCTCCTCTCCCTGGTCTTTCTGTAAGTCAGTTCACCTACTAGAAATAGTACCAGGATAAAGTTCTGCAGAGTGAGTAATTCAGGCACAGAATTGCTGTTTCATTCCCAAGGCTTCAGATCTGTTGTGATCCCCAGAATTAACCACAGCAGATGCACGGGGACTCCC